AGCAGCAGCAACAGCAGCAGCAGCCGCAACAACAACCGCAACAACAACAGCAACCTTGGACCGGTGGCAGTTTGCAAGTTGGTAATAATAATGCGATTACAACGACCGCGACGTCGGCACGTCCTCTCCAAAGCCCGAGACAACTACCTCGTCCAGCAACCAATACCTACCTCAGTCATATGCTAAGTCAGGTGAGCGCGATTAAATTTAATTTAACAAAAATTGTAAATTAATACTTTAACTTGTTCGCCACGTGTGGAACATTGCGTATGTGTATATAGCCTTTTCATTAATGATTGGATATTCATATAGTTAAAATAAGAAAAGAGAAAGATAAAATTCAGAAATTTACAAAGTAAAAAGGAATGGAAAATAATTAAAGAAGTAATAAAATAGTTAAAGAAGAAAACTCTCCCTTGATTTTCTCTGGAGTCTGGAGATGGTCAGTATCCTTATTTAATGCGTTGTTAATTTTCATTGTTAGGTAGGGAGATTTGAGAAGAACAATATATGCTATGACCAAAGAGGTTATAACTCTTTATCTATGACGCTATGTTAGGAGATAAACTTCCCCTGCTCGATGCTAAAGCTTTGGATATACCAAATGCTCGGTTCACAATCTTGCTTTAAGAGGCTATAAACTGTTAGCTGTAAATTATAAGTGACAATATATCGGTCACATAACTTATACTTTTAGACCGTAAGAATTGGGTTTTGCCCAATTCGTTTAAGCCTAATGGTTAAAGCCTAAAGATTGCGCAAAAACAGTTTGAAGACAGAAATTATTGTTACTTAGGCTCAGTTGCACTTGTTACTTTGACTTTAAACAAGGCTTAAAACTCTCTCTGTCTCTCTTTCACTTTAAAACAGATAGAGCTTTAAGTCTCTCTTAAAGTCAAAGTAACGTTGATGCAACCGAGCCTTAATCTCTTCCAACTTATGACTTAAGGTCTCTTAAAGTAAGATTGTGGACTGAGACAAGGTAACTCAATCCTTTTATCTGAGTCGAAATGCCGACAAATTTTCTATTGGTTATTTTGACTGCCATTTTTTGACCTAGTGACTGTAGTCTCAAGTACTTAGTATTATTAGTATTTAGTATACAGGGTGTCTGATAATTGTTTTAACTAAATTCGTGGACATGTAGAGCGGACTAAACTGAGATGGAAAGCCTTCTATCATTTTATAACTTTCGCAATAGTTAACAAGATATTAATTGCTAAAAATCGCCGAAAATTAGCTTTCAATAATTTTTTATTCAAATACTATTAACTTTACAGAAAAACTGCAAGAGTGTTTAATTGAAAATTGTTTATTTTCTTCTCATAGAACTTTACGAATTTTTTTATAATTTTTTATCAATTTTTTAGTACTGCATTTTCTCATTTTTATCAACATAAAAAAATACGGTTTTAAAAAATTCTGGAGAAATTCTAAAAAAATTCTTAGAGCTCTAGGAGAAAAAAATAAACAATTTTTGTTTCTTGCAGTTTTTCTGTAAAGTTAATAGTATTTGAGTAAAAAATTATTGAAGAACAATTCCGGCAATTTTTAGCAATTAATATCTTGTTAAAATTTATTGCGAAAATTGCAAAATGGTAGAGGACTTTCCGTTCCAGTTTAGTCCGTACATGTCCACGAATTCCGTCAAAACAATTATCAGACACTCTGTATACAGTCGAACCTCTATAAAGTAACTTGTCGAGACCGACCTTCGTTGCAATATAGTTTAGTATACAATATAGTTATTTAGTATGTAATATAGTTATTTAATATATAATAGTTATTAGGTCCAAAATGGAAAACCTTTGCTACTTTGGTATATCTAGAGCTTTACTCAATGTCGCTCCACTCAGCTTTCAAAGTTTGAACATTACGCATACCGCGCTATGTAATTGCACCCTGACTGTAGAGTCCTATATTTAAAGAAGCGCGATCGACTTATGTCAGTATCGCAAAAATACTAAATAATACTAGAAGTAAAAGTGGCGTTGTTTGCAAGACGGATTATGAAATTTATCATCCATTAAGCAGCCATTTTTAATACACAGAAATAAATTCGTCATTGGCTGCTCATCATGTGATTGCAATGATCAATCAAAACACTTAACATCAATCGTGTTTTTCTTAAAAATCTAGGAATGCAAAATGTCGCAAAATATTATGGGCGACACAGTTTTGGCGAGTTCCCGTCAAGATAAGTTAAGCAGATATTCTATCTTAGCCGGAACTCGCCAAAACTGTGCTGCCCATAATATTTTGCGTGCATTATTGGATTCTCTAGCTCAGCGAAGCGTAAGGGTGATATTTCATTTATGCGTTTTTGTCGTACGACAAATTTTTCAAGCCTGTTAATTGGCTATGGGATATTCGAAGATCTCTCTGTTCTATACACGTTTATCATACGATAAAAACATACAAATGAAATAGCACCCTAAAAACGCGAGTTTGTCTGGGATCACTGAGAATGTGATTATGTAGCGCGGTACACTAAACTATAGGAATCTAAACGCGCAAATTGTGTTCCGCTTGCTTTTTTTTCCTTCTATGAGACTGTGTTCAGATTCCTCATTTCCGGGTGATCGCTGGGTGAGCCTAGCGAAAAGTATCAAAGTAATTTGGGAATCTAAATGCACTCTAAGATAAGAGAGTGTCCTACAGGCATTGGTTACAAATAGTAATGTAAATATATCAAATTTAATATAAATTATATATAATTATATATAATTAAAAAATATATAATAATGATAAAAAATATAAGATAAATTTGTATAAATAAGTAAAAGTGTACAAATAAGTTCCCATCGTTTTCTAATAGATGCCATTATTAATATTGCGTGCATATAATTTAACATGGTAACATATCTAAGTATTGGCTGCAGCAGCCAATTTTTGGTTGCACAGTCAATTTTTGGTTGCTTTAGCCTATCTATATCTGTATTGTCAATGTAGGATTTTAATAGGCCAATGCAATCAAAAATCGACTGCTACAACCAATTAAAAATGCTATGTTATATTTTACTATCTAATTTGCTATAGCAGCCAATCTTTTTTTTTCAGTGTAGTTAATTGTTTTTTACTTAATTACTGTGCCGCGTATCGCATCCTGACATGAGGTTTGTTCGCGTTGCATACTCCAACATGCTTCAACATTTCCTATCATAGTTTAATTTTTTTGTTTTTTTGTCTATAGAAAGAGAAACATAAAATGTTTCTACATGTTAAACAAGGAAAGATTCAGTACCAATTTTATGACGCGAAGCAGGTCGGTATTTATAGTCGATTCTTACATTTAAGACTGTCTTAAGTACAGTCTTAAGAACATGTCATAAGTCAATCCGAGGACTGTATTAGCATTTTAGGGCAGTATTTAAGACAGTTTTAAAATAAAAACGAACTATAAATATCGCCCCATGTTTAGCGTTTCACAGTTGACAGCTTTAGCCTCTTATCGATATTCATAGACAGAGACGGCGAAGATGCTTGCAAATTACACATACCATATTATCTCTTCCACCATGCTCTAACGCGTTTGGGTGATATTTCATTCATGCGTTTTTGTCGTACGACAAATGTGTGCAGAACAGAGAGGTCTTCGAATCTCTCTATCCTATAGCCAATCAGTTTTGAAAAATTTATCGTACAATAAACGTGTACAGAACAGAGAGATTCTCGTATCTCTCTATCCCATAGCCAATCAACAGGCTTGAAAAATTTGTCGTGTAACAAAAATGTACAAATGAAATATCCCTTTGCGTGAGAGGGAGCTACGTTGGAGGAAATAGGAGTATGTTGGAGCATGCAACATGATGCGAACAAACCTATATAAATTATAGTTTGCGACACAAATACATGGGCACGCCTAAAAATGTAAGTGAAATCTTGTTATTTGTAGTATAAATATTTTTTGTAGTTAAAAAGTTAATAAAAAATAATCAAATTTCTACTGTATATCCTTATTGATTGATTCGTTGTCTTAGGTAATATTTTTAAACAAAGGTATATTTTTCTTGCAGCAACAGAGGCCCCAAATAGGACCAATCGAGTCCGAGTTTGCGGGTAGCGGAGAATATCGTCAGACTAGCAATGATCCAACTAACTGGCATAATCAATCGTCGGATCCAGATCTCTCCGAAATTTTGGATCAAGTTATTGAGATTGTTCCGGATGAAGATATCACAAGTAAGTATAGCGAAATATTAAACGATAATTTTCCATGAGCAGAGTGGTGAATGTCTCGTTCTGAGCTGATTATCCTCCATCTTTTTTATTAAAACGAAATTTTCTAATACAGAAAAAAATATTTTTTGTACAATATGTCTGTCTGCGCATGTGTGCGTGTGTCTATGAATAACTACAATTGCGTAGTATTACTCACAAATTGATTGTTCCTAAAAGATCTAATAAATTTGTTTAGGAACTCTTCTAGCTGATATCGAAGTGCCGGAGAATAATGTCATGAACGAAACAATGGCAATCAATGCTATTCAGAAGACATTGATGTTGTGCGAGTCTGCTGTTGTGAATCCAACATCCTCCAGTATAACTATGTCTGGCACGCCTCCAGCCTATTCGACTGCGGTAAGTTTTTTCTTCTATTGTAAATCATTTATTTTGAATTAATCTTATCCGTTTTCTTAAAAATATTTTTTAATTTATTATGTCGAATAGTCGAATTTGAAGCCATCGAGCAATTAATCGATTTCTTAAAAGGCGCGACATTGATCATATCCCTATCATTAGTGCTCAAGCTGAAATCTCTTCATTGGACAAGGTAGTCAGCGAATCTTGAATCCTTGAAAATCGGGAATTGTCTAATATGCCATACCATTTGAATATGTGACAGTATACTGCTCGTCAATGATTCGAAGGATCCTGTACCTTTAACTTATCGGCCTGATTAATCACAAGATTGATAATTTGATGTAGAAAACTTCCGTTATTGACTTTCTCGATCCTGCGGATAAATCAGGTTGATGAGCCAGGGCAACATTTAATGTTAAACAAGAACTGAGGGTCGATTGTGTATTTTCAAATGAGATGAAAATTACAAAAGTGAGCAAATTCACTAAAGTATTCATAATTTAATTGGTAATAACTAGTAACTTTTGCTGCAATTTTCACTTTTCAAAATTCACAATCGCCCTCCAGATGATGAATCAGCCATATATGAATGAAGCAGCTATTGCTTCTCGCGACACTCGGCGTTTAGAGTGGGGATAAACAGCACTGCGATCCGAATTCTCTGCTGATTTATTATAAAAATTGAATAATATTACTATTTCCAGCATAGTAGGATTGCGCGCAGGCAATCCAGCAGAAAAATATAAAATGTATTCCATAATCTGATGAATCGTTGAATTTTGTTATAGTTGGGAACTACACCTGTGACGACTGCCAGTCATAATTACCAGCCACCTCCTTTATATCAACAGCCCAGGATGAGGTTCAATCAGCCAAGCATTAGACAGCCCGGTCAGTTTACACAGTTGCAGCTGCAACAGCAACGTTCTAAGCTCATACATCAACAGCAACAGCAGCAGCAACAACAGCAGAAGCAACGATTATTGCAGCAACAGCAGCAACAACAGTTGCTTATCCCATCGAATGCTACTGCTACGGATCAAATGAACAGTGGTATTAACATTGACAATCTTTTGAACAATACCGTTGCGCCGCCGAATGTATCGTTGCAGGTATGTATCATATACAGTTTATCACGAAAGTACAAGAAAAAATTAGAAGAGAAATTAAAAATAAAACATTACTAGAGAAACTTATTTCTCTTTTGACTTTTTATATAAAATAATAATAACAAATGATATTAAAAATTTCATAGTTGAATTATACAAAATATAATTATTTGATAAATTGCATTAGCTTATTTCTAATAAAAATTGATTACTATGTTTCATATTTAAGAGATAATAACTACATATGTGCAATGTTTTTTTTTTATTCAGCGATCGAATGGCCCAGATTCACAAGTTTCTCCAGGCTATGGGGCATCCGTCCAGATGGCTTCTGGTCACCGACTCGCTCACTCGTATTCCCATCCATCGACGATATCGCAGCAGTAAGTATTTTGTTAAACATCCCGGACTGTTTATTCCACTTAAGATAGCTTTCTTAAAAATCTTATCACGTGATTTTCTTTTTATTACAGCCACATTGTGAATAGTAATTTCAACAGTGGTCAACAAGTGTCCGCCGCGGCGAGGCTTTCGCCACATTCTCCGGCTGGTATACTGCCGGTGTCGTTTTCTCATCCGCCATTATCACCACGGGTGGCACAAGTGAGTATGAAAGCATTATTACTGTGTATCAGGAAGGAAGACTAAGGAGACTCCACTTAGTCTAGTCAGACCTCAAAACATGGGTCCATTTTGCGTTCGATTCTTGATACTCGCAACGCTAGTGAAGTTTTTTAGTGCGCATAATGAATGCACCGTAGGAAAGTATTATGAACGTAACTTAACCTCTTCGTGAAGGCGACTTTATTTGCATAGTTACATTGGTTACTGAGTCTCCGTTTTGGAGTCTTTGGAGGCTGGAACCTTGGATTAAAAAAGAACGCATAATCTGAAAGGAATTTAATTTCTTTCCCGTTTCTCTTTACGTTTTCTCTTTACATTTTGTTTTGTGATCGGGCACTACATAACAAAATGACATTGCAATTATTCTCTTATTTGTCTTTAAACATTATATATACATTAAACATCCAGATTCGTGATTTTTTCTTCAGAAATTGGAGATAAAAATGGAAGAAAGATCTTCTTTCTTAGCTTCTTTCTTCTTACAATATTTAATCTAACAAAGTACACAAGCGCTGCGAAGTGTCGAGAATCGAAACTTAGCCCGAAACCGCAAAATCGGTCCACTTTTATTTACGAAAGTTAGGAATTTCCTTAATCTTCCTTCCTGATCGAAACTCGACACTCGCAGCACTTGTAAAACTTTTGTAGTCCTACGCATAATGAGTGCGCCGGTATCGAGAATCGAAACTTAATTTGAAACGCAAAATTGGTCCACTTTTATTTATGAAAGTGAAGTCTCCTTAGTATTTTTCTTCCTAATCAGCTCAATAGAACAAAAATATTCATACAAGTTTTTAGTTTGAGCTATTATAGAGACTATGATTGCAGACCCATAGTGGATTAATAATAATGATGAAACAGCCTCATTGTGATTGGTCTATTATGGATCAGTAGTCGGTACTATAGAATTGATAGTTCAATATGAGCTTTAGTTAGAATTAATTAAACCTTAATTATCTTATTTGAAAAATAAAAATGTGGAAAAAAGCTTAATCAATGTTTGTATGAATAATGCAAGTTAATGTAATGCTTAAAAACGAGCTTGAATCATACATTCAATACGTTGGATTTCTATTTGCATTTTATAATATGGTATGCATATTGTTCTTTTCTTTGTTTTCTGCTTTTCATTTTTTATATTTAACGTATCTTTATTTCTGTGAATATTTTTATACGTTTGCACGATATATGCGCTAGGGCAATTACGGCAACACACCGAGATTATTCAACCAGGTGAATCCGGTGAGGCCGCAACAGCAGGTCACGACGCAACAACAGCTACAGCAGCAACAACAACGATCGATGCCTTCGCCAGGGACGGCAGCCTCCGCCCGGCAATCTCCGTTTCCTGCCGAAGCATTTCCTCCACCGACGTCGCCTACAGCCAGCCAGTTCCCGCCAGGTCCCAATACTGCACCAAATCCATCAGCTCAATATCGAATTCAACGGACCACATCTACTCCTTCTGCTACAACACAGTTGCCAGGTATATATTGTTTTTCATATTAATCGCTTGTCGAATTCGAGTGATCGTTATATAATCCCCTACTTTAAGGCTAAAAAATAATTAGAATTGGTTACAATTAAAATAATTAGAATTGGTTTTGAAGAAAAAGAGAAAAGAAAAAATTTTGTGATCGTATAGGAAACATTATTTTGAATCTACAACAATGAGAGATGTTTGGGGATAATAAATATTAATTAGAAATATATAAAGAATTTAAAATGTGTTGGTAATTAAATTACTTAAGTACTATTTCTTATTCATTATTTCATTGTTTAGTTGCAATGAAACAATGGCAAATATCAGATTTCATATTATGCAGTGTCCGAAAATACAATATGACGAATATTATATATTTAGTTGTAAGATTAGAAATATAAGCATCTTTGGAAAGTCGTTTTATCGTATCATATTTAATTGAATTTGTTTTAGACTAGTTTTAGATTTAAATACATTGAGAACTTGATAGTTTTTTAAAAAGAATTGTATGGCAAAAAAATTTTTGTAGCTACTTTTTATCATATTTTTTGTTTGACTATATTTCAAGTATAATTTTTAATATCGGTAAATCGACTTTTCTTCAGAATATTCTGATCAATGTAATGTTATTTAATGTTTAAGTCATAAATCGCGATTATATTTTTTTGTCACTTATTAATAAGAGGAAGATTAGGTTTACTGCGTGTCTTAAATAGGCGGTTGTATCTATTTTATAATGCGTTTAAACATGTTAACTATTTCCTTTCGTTCGCGGATAATAGCAAAGAAATTCTTGAGTAAGTGCTAATTTTTACATAGAGGCTCGTTCAGCTGGTTTTTATAATAAAAGACAATATGCGATTTAATATATAATTATACGCGCGATGAAAGCTGTGATTGAAATATACGAAAGATTTTGTTTCCCGAAATCGGTAAGTATATACAGTATGTTAAAAAAAAACTCTTGTTTAATCTCTACTAAACTGTGAAAGCCGTGCGTAGATTAGTCGGGTATGTGCATAGACTTCATTAGTAATTTTTATGCCTGTATCTCTCGATGTTGTTCTGTGAATAGATTTCTGTAATATTGTGTCATACGAATTCTCTATATAAAGAAAGCGTAACTCCGAGTAATGTAGTAGATCTTGCATAGTTTGTGATTTAATCTTCTAATTTATAATTGGAGCGATGTGTTATACTAGAGATTGAAACGCTTTCTTAGCTCTATAATTTTCTGATCTATCTTTCAAGCGAAAAATTTTATTAATTCTGTTTCTTCACTTATGGAGTTTAGATTTAACAGATTTCTTTTTTTAACATGAGTTTAGCATAATTCAGGAGATTTAAAATATTTTAACAAATTAAAAGAGATTATACATATTTCATTATATGTGGCAGTTAACTTAAAAAAAAATATATGTAATGATTTTAATTTCTTCATCATCCAACATTAGAAAATATCTATCTATTGCAAAATTTTCGACTGAGGTATAATATTGCATAATATTTACTGGCAATTCTTTACGAATATAAAAGTAAGTTGTCGAGAGATCTATTTTTTTACTAACAATTTCAGATATAGTTTTCTTTATTTTGCGTACAACTGTATCTGCTTTTGACTTTCAGCTAGCGGAATCGAAATGCGCTTTCCGGGTGCATTATTCAGCCGGTTTTTTTTTAATCCATTAGATACCAGGTGATTTATACGCACTTTTCTATTGTAAATTCTAGTAATCTCGGATCTTAAAATTTTTTAATCACAATTGGAATATAGGGATAAAAAAAGTTTTTTTTTGGAAATATAATCGACAATGGGATGATTTGGAAAAAGATATAAATCCTATCTCATGTCGATTTTTAAAAAAAGCAACTCTTTTTAAACCTCCAGATACCAATTATGGCCTAAAAATTTTAAACCCAAGTTGTACAAATTTACATAAAACGGAAAAGTGCAAAGAGGTCTCCTGGGACTTAATATGTTAGTTTATTTAATATATAGATTTCGATTTTGATATTATATACGTGGCTATATGACGATGAACGCTGGCATGGTACATGAAAGCGAAATAGAAGCGTTTAAATGTCCGGCAAGGCTAACCAAGGACAGCACAACTATACACGATTGGATGTTGCAGGTGGAATCGCGTCGCCGAGACACTACGGAGGAGTGAGTAAGGAACCTCTTCTTTCACCTAGTCATTCACACTCTGCTTGCCCGGCAACACCTACCCATAATCAACATAACACTACCAATACACAACACTTTACGAGTCAACAACATACCTCTATGTTATACCAACACACCAACGCCAACACTATCAACACGGCAGATATGCAGAACAATCAGTTCTGTTACGATCGGTCATCAGTACCGCTCTATCCGTCTGGCGGGGAAGCGCAAGATGCCAGACTGGCTTCTAATAACGTCAATCACCAAATCGGTGAGCAGACATTAGAATATTTAATGTCATGTGACATTTCATCATGTTTTTTCTTTAATCGCAATATGCAATATTTACAACCACGAGAGTCACCTCCATCAAATTCGCTCGTATTTCGAACATGTTTCTCATTAAAAGATAAGTGTCGTCGATCATTCCCCCGCAACTTCAAATGTAATTATAACTGGAGTCATTATCATCCTTACCAGCAGCAGTGGTTTCAATGGATGCAAAGCATGCATTACGTGTAGATATTGTCAAAATCATACTTTATTTCTTGTTTGCGGGAATCATTTTTATAAGTGTAAGAATATATGTTAAATATTGCATGACGCTTTTTTGACGCAAAACGTAATTGTAATTCCATTAAGTGTAATTATTATTATAATGAAAGTAAGCTGAATGTAAGTAAGCTGATAATAATTTATCATTTATCTCGCTATCTCGCAGATAAATTATTTATGTCAATATACACTGTGATGTACATAATTTTATTAGAGTCATAAGATTGAAAAGGCTGTAATCGCACATTGTGAACATAGAAAATTCTTTGATGTATTAAATTGATTCTTAGTATTGTAGTATCACTAATTTGTACTGCTATATTAAATTCAGTTCTTATTTTTTTAATCGTAGATCTTCATAGTATTAGAAGAACTAATAAGGGAACACAACTAAGTGAATTTCTTCGATTTAAATGAGCTTTTAATATGTTGTTCTATGGACAAAAATAGGAGTATTTTTGCAAATTTTTTTCTATCTCTTACAGATTCGACGATATTCAATCTAAAAGGAAAAAAAACCGATTTTTTTTTTCAAGAAAGATGTCATCCCCTTAACCTACGACTCAGCACGTATAAAAAAATACGTGTCTCCTATTTTTGTTCATAGAATAACATATTAAAAGCTCATTTAAATCGGAGAGATTCATTATTTTGTGTTCCCTTGTAAGTTGTAAGTTAACGTTTTTGTGATTATTATAAAAAATTTTATTATAAGAAATTTTATGGAATGTTTCATTTTTGTTTCCAGACTACATGTCTTAAAGTACAAAAAATTAAAACAAACTTCTGATTTTGAAATTATGTTATAAAAAATCGAAAGAATATGCGACCGATGAAAATCGAAATGAACCGTCTAAGTTGACAAATTGCAGGGATGAGAAAGTTATTTTGTAAAAGTTAATTAATTACAGTTTTTTTCTAAAAAAGTAATTAATTATTGTTATAAGTTATTGACTCTAAAAAATAATTTGTTATAGTCACAGTTACTGAAAAAATAACTTTCAGTTACTTTTAAGTTACTTTTAAGTTTTTTTTTTTTTCAAAATTTTCAGCAAAACGAATAACATCGATACTATTAGGGCTGCGTTTAGAAATGTTACCCGACTGCTTCCGGATATCGTTTTTTTTATCCTTGTTTTTCTCTTAAACAAGAATGATACATAAGGTCATCTGAGTAACACAGCTTAGAACAGTTAAAGAAAAAGATTTTGAAGAAAATTGAAGAAAAACAACCTGATCACTCAGTGATCACTCAGTTCCATTAGATTAAAATGTAAATCAAACAAGTACAAAAGTTTATTTTGAGTGCTTTACTTAAATTTTTTTCTTCTGGTTGGAATCAATCAAATATTTCAAAACATTTGTAGTGCCAAGTGGATACTATCGCACACTAAATTGACAAATAAGTTTGAAATATATAAAGTAATTATAAAAGTAATTATTAAATTAGTTACTAGTTAAGTTAGTTACTTAAAAGATATAATTAAATTAAGTTATAGTTACAGATGGAAAAAAAAATAACGAAGTTAAGTTATAATTACTGAAAAAAGTAACGCTAACTTCGTTACAAATAACGAGTTAACGTAAGTGTAAGTGACTTGGGACAGTGTAGGTAACTTGCGATAGCATGTATTTTTGTTAAATTTAATGGTAGTATCTCTATCCATGAATCTCTAAAGGAAATTTAAAATTTAAACTTTCTTTAATGACTCATGGATGGAATCCTTAATTATTAAATTTAACAAAAATATATGCTGTCCTAAGTTACTTATACTGTCCCAAGTCACCTATATTTGTGGTACTTTCCATCCCTGACAAATTATGATTCTATAATATAGAAGATTTTAACTGTCTAACGTTCTATGTTTATGAGATCACTTTATTTGTATTTTTTTCTCTTGCTTTACCTTGTCTCTTGTTTGCAACTTATATTTGCGTGATTTCAAGTTGGACAGTTCTAACGTAAAAAATAGCTTATTTAATTTAAGAAAAATTCATAAGTCCCCTAAAATAGATTTATTTATATTTGTACCACATATATATTACTGCACACTATATAAGATCCAAGCATCTGCATCATAGCTCACAAAATACGTATTTTGTATCATTACCTGCATTTACGAATATGTTTTATGATTAGAACGACATTACGATATTATATCATTTATCTAATTGTAAGTCATGTAACGATAACAATGCCATTTTGTCCATCTTGTTATTTTGTGTCAAAATTTTATATATGTGATATTTTGAGCGTTTTATAAGTATTGCTCAGAATTTATTTACTTTGTAATTTAAAAAACAAAATTTTGAGAAACAAAATTTTATTATTTATGTTATTCCTTTTTAATTCCTTGATTGAATAAAATCATTGCGATTAACGCAATTAAATCATTGCATTAAAATGTTGAGTTAGCTTATTATATGATTATTAGAAAAATAACAACATGAATATCGTTACTACATCAAAATTGTGGTACACAAAAAAACATAAGCAATAAAACATGAGCAATAAGCGAATTAACCTTTTGGATTTGATACTGCTTACATTGTTACTTTATTGTTTCTACATTATTTCTACTTTGACCGATTCGCTTACCGTTTTTTATGTACCATAGCATTTAATTTAACTTTATTTGTGCATAACTGCAGGCATCTTTGTGTTGATAATATCAAAGATGTCAACAGAATTGTATATTATACCATATTATAATTATATATTGCGATAGAAATTAAGAAATGTATAATCGAATTCCCTTACAGCGAATTTGGTTGGCAATGCGCATTAGTGCAAATTAAAGTCGTCGTACACAAATCGACGTAAAAATTGCATTTATTATGTGTATATTAAACCGCGAAATCTCTAGTACATTTTATTGTGTTGTTTGGTAAATTATTAGTGAACTATTTAATCTTTTGAGATATTTGCATTACACTTTTACATTTAGATTAGATCAGTATGCAATGACTTTTATATGCACCAGTGCATACTAGTACGTCTAACCGAATTCGTTAATTTCAACTCACTGGGATCAAGCAAATTCTCTGCTCTCAACTTTCCCTTCTGTTTTCATATTTCAATATGCATAAAATGAAAATGGACTTGTTCAGCATAGCGAATCATTAAGTTGCTTTAACAACCGAAGCTAATTTAAGGAGATCCTAAAATCGTCTGTTTTACCGATTAAACGCAATAATTTTCATAGAATGGTATTGCATATTATACTTACATTTATGATATTAATTTTATTATTTGGCAATTCTTCAAAATTAAAGTATAGGTACTAATACGTGCCTGTAACGTGAATTTTATGTTGAGAACGATAAAAAATTTTAAACTTAAGATCTTTTTTTTACCATTTTTTGATTCCAAATAAGCTTAGAGTTGTTAAATCGAAACAGCATTTACTTAATAATTTTGTAAACTATACTTACGAAATTAAAGCAAACTAGTAGAATACATGAAGAAACAATGTCGAGTTCTTGGAATTTGATTTAGACATTTAATTCTATATGATATCGTTCTATCAAAATTTATGTATATATGTGTGTGCGATATTGATGTAATGATGTGTAAAGATGTGCTGATGTGTATCGGTAAAACAGCGATGCTATTGTCTTTAGTTTAGGATTCTCTTTAAAGGTAAGGTTACTGCTGTTGTACAATCAGAGTTTCGACTGATTGACGCAGTCACGTTCTATGCGTGTCCCCTAATCTCATTTGCCATTTTCATTTTATGTATGAATGGTAAATGCGAAATCGTGGGAGAATATTATAAGAGAAGTGTGTTAGTCTCGATGGGCGAAGATGGGGGAAGATCGAGATTAAGATAGTTCGACTGTACACATTTTCGTGATACATAAAATAATTATCATTAAAAATATCATAGCATAAGCTTGCATTAAAATTTTAAGAATGTTACTAATAAGGTACTTCTAGGAAATAGAATATTTCATATAAAAAAGAATATTCTGCTTCGTATAAGCGCGGCAAAGCACTGAAAGTGGCAAATGTGACATTGGATTTATTATGTCTTAATCATTCTCTCATCTCTCGGGAAGGGAGGATCACACATATGTTCATATGTAATATAACATCACAATGTAAAAAGATAAATTCACACCGCTTATCTCTACGTGCTGTGGAAACATTTACTAACAATGAAGCCTCTTTGTGTACAGTGCATTGAGCTTTCGTGATTAATATTTTTATATATTTTGTGCATTTTTTTCCTATCAACTTCATCAATCTGTCATCGTACGCACCACTTATTTTATAAAAAATTGAAATTTCATAATAAGCAAATGGATAAAATAGCTGGGACTTGTCGTGTACTTTCTCTTGACAGATCAATAACATTTTTTAAGTTCATTAAGTATGTGAAAGAATATAAAACTTTTTAATCTTTGATTTATCATATGATAGTATCTAAAATATTTGAAAGTTTTAAGTAAGATTGGAATATGGAATTTTTGGCATCTTCTTTAGACTGTTTATTTTATGGCTTACGGTTTGGACATTTATTCCGTTATTATTGTTACTTCTGTAAAGTCTTGATGTGTCCATGATGCTAGAAATCGATCCGAGATTTTGGATAAAAGAATTAAAAAATCACATTTGAAAAATTTTTCACATGACCAATCCGATTGGTCAATTCTTTCTTTATTTGAAATTGGACCTAAAGCTTTATAAAGAAACGATTTCTAGACTCTTCTTTTAAAACTGCCTAATGTTTTTACGTGCTTTTTCTCGGAAAGTTTCTTTTTAATGCCATTTTAACCCGAGAATAAAAGGAACCCATACGATGTGTACTACCTGAGGAAGGATGACTTTCACATCTCTTTATTTAAAAAAATGTGAAAAAGTCACTATTCTGCTCCTTAAGTAGTACACTACCTTCACTTTTTGCACTAAAAATTGCTAATAGAATCTCTCTTATATGAGGTATCTAGAAACTAATGAAAAATGTTACGATTGTCATATTTAGACTCTTTATTTTTCTATTTAAAATTTCGAAGATTTAAAATAGTATCTTCTACGAATAAGACGGAAACTATTAAGTCTAAAAGAAAAATAAATAGAAGAAAATTATAGAACGATGCAAAAATTATTTTTTTTTTCTATTTATTGGCTGTAAAAATTTTTGAATATTTGAGAATTATTTCTTATTAGTGATTATTTTTTACCATGTGTGTGACATAATTTACAAGCTGTGCGTAACTATTCTTTATTGTTTGAATCCTTTAAACGACAAAGAATAGATGCACATACTTTTAAATTATCGTCATTTTCACTTTTTACATTTTTAAAACTTTGTGAAATACTGGAATTAATTATCAAAATATTTAGTATTGGTGATTAATGTAATAGAGAGAAAGTACACGAATGAAGCACTTTTTATCTTATTGCAAAACAAACAGAATTATTGCTATTTTAATCGGATTGGATTTATGCCAAGATGTATTTTAATTTTTATTTGTCAAAATTTTATTGCAGAACCTTTGTGTCACAAATGCAGTATACGGACACAATAAATTAAAATCATACATGCACACACATTTACACGAATAACGCACCAATTGAAAAATGAAAACTGATGTACAAAGGAAATACGGCAAACGTTGCGGGAACATTTTTTTTTTTTTTTCAGAAAGATTATTCTTGTTATAGGTAATGCCAGCACCTCGGAATTTGTGCGGCAAGAATTAAGGGCGATTGTTGGCGCGCGAACGCAACAGCAACAGCAGCAGCAGCAGCAACAGCAACAGAGAGTACCCAACAACCTACAGAATAATCTTTCTGGTCAAGTTTCTCAGGACGATCTTGAAGCACTTGGTCTGACATTCGAGATGCCTTCTGCAGGTACGTACACTGGGTTGTAGAATCTTCGTTTGCTGCTTTCCGAACTTCGAATTTCGAAATCACATAGAGACGGTTACTCGGTAAATGATCAGCTACAAGTATGCTCACACAGCAAAACTGGGATGTCACAAGGGATCTATCACAACTATTTGGAACCGTTCGGAACTGTTCGGAACCGTTCGGAATGATTCGATTCTTTTTCTCTTTATTATAACAGGTCCCTTGTCAGTAAAACTATGTTTTCTTATAATATTAATTTCTTTCTCTACTTTTTTTTTTTATTTTAACGCAATGATAATTGTGCATTACCCAGAACTGGAATGCAGAGTAATTACCGCGCTTTTGATAGATCGGTTATATAAGTTAATATACGAGTACATTATATATAGGATGCGTTCCGAGTTATGCATGAAACGCATGATGTATTGTTTTATCTTTCTTTATTATTTGGTGAACAACAAAGACAAATGATGCATCATGCGTTCCATGTGTAACTCGGAACGCACCTATGGACATAATTTTATTACTATCTGTAAGTTATGTATTTATTGAAGATAAAATAAGTGAGGTATACATGAAGTTATTTAATTTCAAAATGCAAGATTTTGTGGTATGCTTTCAGCATACACGAATCAAAATCGATCGTACGAAGATGATTTGAATTTAATAAGTTTAATTTTGTCTGCATTTCTATATAGAGAGGCATTGCTTTTCCTCCTTCGAATTTTCTCAGACTTTATTCATACAATTCCCAATGTTAACTCCGGTCCTCACATATTAATTTTTCATACGATGTTTCATGAGCGAGTACTGTGAAAAAGTATTACAAGCATTATAGTTTCCCCTCGTAGATCATGCACATTTTTCTAGATTCGTCGTCGCACGCGATTACAACTAATTACACTGATTTACAATGCATCTCCTGAGGCCCCGTGTGTTTCTCCGTGAAATCTATATAAGAAATTTCAATATACATAACGAAAACCCAAGCTCTTCCAAGGTAGTTTCGAATGCAGAAAATGTTACGAGTAAAATTTTACTTTTTACATTATAATATTATAATACATTATAAAAAAAAAAAAAGAAAAAGTATTGAATGTGGATTTCTCGTTGTGTTTGATTGGAGTGAACGTTAAGCTATTTGTATAATTTCTGAAATCTTTTACGAGAGAGACAAAAGCGAGTCCTCGGTCGATCGAGATTCGTACGAATCTGTATCGATGTACAGGCTGAAGCACGCGCGATCGCTATGCGTAATCTCCCGCTTCTTGTAAAAAGAAGCATAATACTTTAGTTCTACAAAGATTGTGGTAACGCCTACTGTTACGATGTCCTAACTAGGTGAGGCTGTGGTTAGCGATGGCCCCGCCAAGATCTGGGGGAGCGCCGGAAGTGCCCCCTCGTCCTCCAGGGTAAGAACCCCATTCCGACAATATATAATTACTTTTACGTATTTTTTTAAATTTGATTTTGTTATGCTATGTCTTCCCTCTATACGCTTGGCTTCAGAACTGATTGTGCACGAAACATGTTTAATGATCTCTCTCTATTTGCGCACTGAGCGTAAAACTTGTATGGGGTTACTTACTATTTTTAAATTTACATCGCTCTACAAATGCATGCGAAGTCGTCGTTTGACGATTATTGTCTCGGCATTGTCGTTACAGTACTCGCACGTGACGATAATTCTTTCGAATTTTCCGCAATAGCCGTATAGTTGAAGATTCAACTCTTGTGTATGCTAAAGTAGAAACGTGCCCTGAAAATTATAATTGATTGAAGAAGACTTGAGAGAGATAGCATTTATTTGATGAATTTCTACTCTTTTAAATTAGGGATTGGCTTTATAGTTGTAGAATTTTTTTACTCCTACTTCTTTTTCTTTTTACTACTATTTATTTCTACTTTATTTTTAGTTTAACCAAAAAGGGAAAATAAAAATAAGTCTTTACTTATTATTTCTACTTATATTTATACTTTTTAATTTTATTTCTTATATTTTTTACACATAGTAAGTATTATTATATATATTTTTTGTTTAATATACGAGTTTAAAATATGTTACAAAAAATAAAATTATCAGAATTTAATTATTATTTTGATTTGTTTGATAACAGAATTCTTTGAAGTTAAGAAATTAATCACGAAATTGTCTTAATCTATAAAATATAGCAAAATTTATATCTTTATAAATTAAAATTTTATAATATTTATTTTACAGAAAGTAATGTGTTACAAAAATTTTTTTTTACAAATAATAGAATACAAAATAATTAATATCTAGCACCCCTAAAATATAATTAATATTTATATTTTGTTAACAAAATATTAAAAGTTTTTATATTTTTTCAATTAAGAAGTATGCATTAAATGTCGATGAAGACGTTTAAGTTTTACACTCAGTGTCAATGAGAAACGCTGTGTTTAATATTAAACAAGCTGATTTTATCTCGCTAAGTAGATTCTTGTTCGGACTTTATCGAGGTGCATTAGCTAAACATGGTTAATTGCCTCTATTGTCTGTATAATGTAGCGCGCATTTACGAGTTGCATATATTTTGTGCAAGAACTAATTGTATTTCTTCGGCTGCATTAACTGCGAGTAATTTCTTTTAAATTTGTGTCATTCACTTAAGCGAATGACTGATACAACGCCAGCGTAAAATTAGCTTTCGCTAATTTCGTGATATTTTTTTATGAGATGAAAATAATTGATCGAACTCTAAATGTTAAAGAAATATGAAAATATACAAACTTATAAAAATTATACGGGATCATTAGATGGTATAGATGAAGTTCAGGATTTGATATATGTGGAATTTAAAGTTTTCAATTTTCTCAATATAAATTTTTTCATTGTACAAAATTTATTTTCCTCAAACTTTCGAATAGTAATATTATAGTTTTGTAAAATATTAAAAATGGGAAGAAAGTTGTATGTATGTAAGTATATGAGATAATTTTATTTTTTTTTTTAACTAATTTTAAGTAAACTTTGTTTTAACAACATTCTGAAATTCTTTTGGGTATTAAAAAGAAAATAGGAAAAATGATGTTATCTAATTAAGAATTTTAAGAATTGGAATATGTAAAAAAATGGAATATCGTAAGTTAAATATTCTCACTATTAAAATAGTGTAATGAAATATTCATTTCGTATTAAATAGTTTTGGAAACAAAATATAACTTTGTTGATTAATTTTATCTTCAAAAATTTATTTTTACAATTAATGTTCTTTTTTACCATTACTATTAAATAGAATTTTTTCAACTTAATTTATCTGAAAAAAATAAATAATGGAAAATGGAGAACAATTCTTCATATTCAAATAAGTGGGATTTTTCCCGTGTGCATCGCGCATGATTTTCTTTTCGATATTTTTAAAGATTTCAGCGCAATGCACTCATTCTCATATTGAGTGCCTATGTAGGAGATGTCAAGCAAAAGTATTTTCTTTCGTATCTACAGGGTGATGGTGTTGTAAGCTTCAGCTCATTCGAGTAATCAGTAATCATACTACCATTTGTTGTATTGTATAACGTACGTCTAGTAATGCTTTTTCACAGTGAGCCAACTAGATATCTACGCGTAGTTCTTAATTTCTTTTTTTTTTTCCGAAAACGATTATTCTTATTGCATGAGGAAATCCGCTAATGCTACAAACAGGAGGGTTTAGAAAGACATTCTAAATTTAAATTTATACGATTTTCTAATGTATGTTCTTTATATCGAGCATATCATAGTTATCTGTAAGAAAACTCGACTGGAATGCGATTAATTCATTAATTTAGGATCAATTTGTTTTTAACATACAGGATGTGTCGTATATATAATTTATCGCAATACTTGCTTATAAAATAAATTACAAAATAAATATTTTTTTGACAGCGGTAGCTTTATGTCATTTATGTGTCAAATATTTGCGTTAATCACGTACCAAATAAAAAGAAACTTTATTTTAATCTAGATCATGTATCTAAAAATAATATCTATCATTAATATATGAGTTGCAAATTTTTATTTTAAGTATTAATTAGAAATAATTAAACAAAAATTAAAGAGTACAACAATTGTTACTGAATCTATTTCTATAAAAGCGAGGAAGTTTTTTGTATTATGCTTCTGCCGATCGTGAAATAAAAAAATATTCAATTGGCAATTAAAAGCGGAGTACATATATTTCGTTTAAAAAGTTTTACAGTAGCTATCATTGTTGTGCATTGAGATATTGGATGTGTAGTTGCTATGTGGCTTCAGATTTCTGTTCTTTAAGTTTATTCGGGCGAATCATTGTTTGGACATAATTATTGAAAGGATTCACACATCTGAACGATAAAGACTTGAATTTCAAATGGGTGAATTCTTTCCATCTTACCAAATTCTGAACGATTATTCCATAAACATGTATATGCGAATACTAAATATACGAGACACGGCTGTACCATTAATGCTCTGCTACTTCAAAATATTTTAGATTAATATTTGAACTTATACGATGGAAATATTGCAATAGATTGTCAATCATCAAAGTGATTTCAAACCGATTGTCGGAGAAATGTTCACTGTAGAGACATTGTTCCTTGTTGAGCCTTTTGATCCTTTGTTTCACATATATTGGATTTATAGAGAACCTTAATTTCACGAATCCTTAAATTTTTTTTGATACAAATTCTTGATTTCTCGATTTTCAATTTTAAAATTTTTGGTTTTATGGATCTTTGGTTTAAAAGATTATTTTAAATAATTAGTTTTGCTGATTCTTATACGCACATATTTATAAATTCACACATTTTTTGATACCGGATTTAGTGTCATAAATCCTTAATTACAAAAAGCATCATTGTAAATTTATATAATTCCGCGTAACATTATTGTAAATTCTCCGTTTTCTAAAATCTTAATTTCATAAATTTCCTGTGTCGTAGATCCTTAATTTCCACGGATTCAATTTTATTAAACAATTTCTGGTCCCACAGCACTTGATTACATTATTTTATTATTTAATGAAGCTTATATATTTTTTTTAAATACCAAAATTAAAGGTACTTCGATGCCAGAGATTTAAATATTAATGCCAAAAAAAAAACCATTTTTAATATCTTGTAATATTTGCAACTGTTTTGTTATTCTATAAATATATACTCTTCGATCGGTTTCGAAATCTTTATATCAGAAATAGCGAAAGTAGTTCTAAGAACGTCTTTTGATTTCAGATTACTATGGAGGAGGCACGAGGTGATCCGACGAAATCATCATTGCTGCAGAAGCTACTGCAGTCCGAGTGACAGGCCACTATCCCGTCATGCAGTAAAGAGTTATATGTAATATATTTTTGAGTATGCAGAGAGCGGAACGGAGATATATAGGACGTATATAAAACGCGGAAGAGAGCAAGAGTGCGAAAAAAAGGAGAGAAAATGTGTGAGAAAGTGTTATAAAATGCATATACACTTACTACGTAATGGATACTATTGTATTATATGTAACGTCACACACGGAGTCAGTATTCATATACGTATCACCAAATACAATGCAAAACTAGCGCGCGGTGCTCTCTAGAATGTTGCCCGTTGATCAGTCGAGGAAAAAAAGACGAGCGAGAGCGAGAGAGAGAGAGAGAGAGGGGGGGGAGAAGAAAAGAGTGAGAAATAGAAAGATAGATATAGAGAGAAAATGAGAGATAGAGAAAGATAGAGATAGGAAAAAAGAGAGATAGAAAGATAGAAATAGAAAGAAAAAGAGAGAAAAAGGGGGAAACGGCGGGACCTATTCCCTTTCTTTTTTGCTTTTCGAACTTGATGGACCAAAAGTTTTAATTTTTGTTTGGCTGTGTTAAGATTTCCTGGCTGAGCATGCGATTCGCCAGGAGTATCGAGGCTGCGTCGTATCGCGGCACGGAGAGAATCGATTCGCGGCGTTCGTTCCCGTCGCTTTTTATGTTTTTTCCTTTTTTTGTTTTGTTTGTTGAGGAAGAGTCTTTCTCTCAAGCTCTCGTCTCGGCTTCGGATGACCGAAGATTTATGTCGTATCGTATATTATGCTGTGACGATCACAAGCATACGATGAACCCACATCCGCATTTTACCTGTCGATACCTGTGTGTATGTGTGTGTGTGTATGTATGTGTTAATGTTTGCGCGTGTGTGTGTGTATCGCGTTCTCCGTCAGTATTGTATTTGGTATATCACAAGAGCGGGAAAAAAAAGGAGAGGAAACTATATATAGGTACCTCAAAAAAGGTATACTTTACTATACCACTGGCTGTTGAACATAGAACTACTCATAGGATTTAATTATTCTATACACAGATGAAAAAAAGAAAGAAATAGAGCACTCTATTCACGTATTCTTCTTAATTTAACATCCTTTTTCGACTATTACATTTATGGATAATATATTTGTGATTGTAAGAATCTGCAACCAAAACGTGACAAAGAATACTTGTTGTTGTTAATATGATTATAAACTATTATTATATTGTAATAACTATTAATTATTTTATTTTATTTTATTATATTATTAATATTATTATTATTATCATCGACATTATTATTATCACTATTACCAATATTCTTGTTGCAATTGCTATATTATTATAATAATAAGAATAATTATTATATTATTTTATTATGTATATCAATATTGATATTATTGAACACTTGGAATATTCATATTTCTATTCAATAGTAAGAGTACCTTTATATAAATATAAATATAAATATATTGTATAAATGTATATGTATATATATGTATAGTGGGTTTATGTACGCGTTATATATAAATAATAGATGCGGACATTATTTATGTATAATCGATATATAAATTGACGTATATTTATATATCTATACATGCGAGATGGAGAAAGAAAGAAAAAAAGAGGGAAATCGATCTTCTATTTTGCATAGCTCGGTAATGATTCTCTTTTGGGTCTTAGATGCACACTAAATTACTTCTAAATGACATCTGTTGTTATATAAATGAGAAAAGAGGAAATCTAATTACACCTACACGTGTATATGCACACGATGCTATGCGCGCGCGCGTGTGTGTGTGTATACGCGTGTACACATACATATGAAAGAAATCTCACGCAAGTGTCTTATTTTTCCAGGAAGTTCACCACTTATTAAAAGTTGGAAGAAATCGCTACTAGAGGTTTTGCGTGTGATGATAATGATGGGGTTTCGATATGAGATGAGTATAGAACGTCAGCGAGTTTTCTTTAGCATTGACGGAATTTTGCTTTAATTGTAAAATTAATGATTCGCATGAAAAAAACCGTCTCTCTTTTCCATTTCGTTTTGACCGTGATTTACAAATGTGATTTCGACGGGCGCGGACGTGGCAATTCTAGTGTTTATTTGGCGTGTATTATTATATTTATATTGTTATGCGTCCGTCTTGTTTTTTTTAAATTTCGAAATTAGTTTTTTTTTTATCGAAGGGAAAAGGGATTCGCGTTTTATAAATTTTTTTGAATTATTTAATGAAAATTAGCTAGCTTGTATGGTTTAGTGTTTGAGCCATCGCGTGATGTACATAATGAAAAGCAACGGATTCGGATTTGTTTGTTGCGTGTTTTACCTAAAAAAACTTATAGATATTTATATGTATGTTATTGTTGTTTCTTTTTATTTTCTATAATACGAAACACGAAATTTTTTATCCGTGACGCGAGGAAACAAGTATAACGACGACGGTGATGATAACGAGGATGATGAGATTGATGATAACGATGAGGATATTGATACTGTGATGACATTAATACTTGGTCTGCTCGTTCCCTGTTGCTTTTTCTTCCAATTGAAAGCAGTTACAAAGTTGTAATCTCCATAAAAAAAAAAAGAAAAACACAACGTGAGGTACTCTGAATATGTACACGTACATACATAGGCATGTACTTGCCTGTGAACGCGGATACGTATATTACGCGTACGAGAGAGATAGAATGAAAGAGGGGGAGGAGAGAGAGAGAGAGAGAGAGAGAGAGAGAGAGAGGATAGTACGCACGTACATGTTTGTGTATGTTCGCGCGTGTGCATGCTTATGCCAGAGTGCGAGATGGAAACGTCGTGGCGTTTAGGCGTGCAGTGTGTGTGCGTGTGTGCGTGTGGAGGCGTGCGTTGTTCGTAGGCACGCTCGTACGCGGGTGTGCGTAGCAAATTACGTCATATAGATAGATCATATGTGCTTTCTAATGATGAATAATTTTATAAATATAAATATAATATCGATCTCTCACCGTGTACGTTCATTTCGTACGACGAGCTTGTATGTGAACTTCGCGTGTCCTGGAAAAGGCCCGTTCGCCTTTTATTAAACTGTCAAATGATTTCAGTGTTCTTGCTTCATTTCAGTTAATTCTTTTAAGCGTTCCGCGAACACGTAAAGTATCCCCCTCCTGGCATTCTCCCGTCTTCTCCTCGTTTATATCGCTTCCAGTTTCTGCCTTCGCTCAAGAGCTTTGCGTGATATTATTTTTAGATGTAGTCTAAAACTAAGATATACTCTTATTTTTTATTCCGAAAAACAGAAATTGATTTTATTTAAATTAAAATTTATTTATTTAAGGAAACAATATGTTTTATATCTTCCAAACAAATTTCTTTCTGCGTTTTTATTTTGTAGACGATAATGAGAAATAAATTGTCATATAAAATACTACCAATGGAACAATGAAACTCAATCTTTTTTGCTGTACTCATCAAGCAGACAAAATTTTCAAGTTACACGATTATAATTTTGTTTAAATTGAAATTTATTTAAAGAAACAATATTTTTATATTTTCCAAACAACTTCCTTTTGTATTTTATTTTGTAAATGGTGACGCGAAATTGTAAAATATAAAATAGATGAAACGATCAAATTCAATTTTTTTGCTGTTCTTTTCAAACAGAAAAGTTTAAGCTAATTAACTAATCAATCAATTAACTATTAACTACAGTGCTTTTTTAATTTATTATTATTTATTTTCTTGCGTTATATGAAATTTTCAATTCGAGATAAATGGAAGGAAGATAAACCGGAAAAACGTCGATTAGCTTATACAAAAAGATCTTTATTCACTGCGAAATACATAGATAATAGTTACGATAGCAATACAATATACATAACGTTAATTTAATTATCATAGTGTGATCTCCCGTAAATCGCACCGGCAAACACGACGTTATTGGCAGTTTCGTGATAGCCGGACGCGACAGATTCTTTTTCTATTTGGCATAAGGCAGTTATATGGCTTTACGGCAGCCGGCGGCGCTTTTTATCGTGCGCGCAGGAAGAGACGAGATGGCTGGGAGAATGGGTCGTAGACCTGCACAGGGTGGGAACGAATATAGCGATGAGTTCCCAAGAGCGATTAAGGGTCCTGGATGAGGATTTTCAGATAAGCAGCAATCCAGGTCTTGATTCAACAGCAGCTACTTTGACAAGCAATTCTTCTTTCATGTTGAGAGTTCCGGGGAAGAAATGTACTGATAATCGAGAAATTTATCAAAGTTGCGTTTCATATTCAATACTTCAATTTCAATGGTCTGTAACTTAAAAAGGAGTTTATTCATACAATTTTTTTTCCAAACAGCTTAAATAACCTGAACTATCTGCATGTTGTTTACATAATCTTGAGTCTTTATGTTATTGAACATTCGTTCGCGTTTTCTACTCGATGCAAGGCCTACGAACGAAGGCACCCAGCCGATATAACTTAACTAATAGAATAAAATAGTTTTTTTTGCTTCTTTATATACATAGGCTTGCTACGCCCTTTGCACGTCACTGCCGCTGGATATTTATGCGCGATTTATGCTGCGCCTACACGTTGTTTAAAGACTCTGCCGATTCCCAGTGCCTGCCGCGTACGCGACCTCTCCTGCGTTGGTGATGGGGTACACGTCTGTTCGAATATGGTCTTCCTCGAGTATGGGTAGCCCACGGATTAGGCGGTATCCTGGAGGACTCGTAGTCAGGCGGTAATTGGCGAGGTGGTGGTATAATGCCCCAATTATTGGGGGCTCGTTCGTTGTTAGATGTGAAAGGCTTTAAAACCTCGGTGACCCTTCGGCGGAGGCACACGGCGCAGCGACTCACTCGGGACGTATGATCGGCTTTGAGCGTCTGTTGCAGCGGTTTACGGAACATCTCGTCGTCATGAATGGTCGCTAACCAGTACGATGTTGCCGTAGAGAAATAATTACAACTACCAAGGCCACGACATTCAATAAACGGTCTGACACGGAATTCCTCTAAGCAGGATCCGGGCGAGACTAGAGACTGACCACCACCATCTGCACCTGCATCTCTGTGCTGTAATTTTATAATTGTATAAAATTATTATATCAAACTGATAATACCTAATTGACAATACCTTCAATATTTACTTAACTATTAGGTGTTGGAATTAATTCGTAGCGTTTTTTAATGAAAGAATGTTATTTATTTCACATGAGCATTAAAAAATACATTAATGAAAGTACTTCCCATCACTTGTAAAACGCTACGAATTAATTCCAACACCTAATATTATACATTTTTATTGAATTCTTATCTATATTGAAATTAATATAATACAATTGATCTTACCATGAGGAAACTGTATCCAACCCAGATTTCTTCCCAGCCACCCGGACACTCGGGTATTGCCATAGATTGACTGTGAACGGCTATTACCCTAGTCGGTGCTTCGCACACTGAACATCTCGATAAATATCTACCAACTTCTGGAGCCGGTATTGGTGTCATCATCATCGGCATAGGCTCGGTTGTACTGAGCCAGTAACTGTAGTCATTGCGATTGGCATAATCACACACGTTGTTTAGATTGCAGAACAGGAAAGGCATAGTGGAAAACTTCCTGACGCAACTACCAGCAGCGCCTGTGAATTGTATTATACTTTATGTGTGTGTGATTTATTGCATTATACTCTTAAAGATTCCTTTTAAATCATGTATATTCTTGTAATGTCAAATGTTTTAATAATTATTTAAAAATTTTTCTTCTTGCATTAAGTTTCTTTCTAATACTAGATTGTCAAGAAAGAAAATCATTCTGAATCATCTTTTTATATACAAATTTATTCAAAAACAATTATTCCTCAAGATAAAGCATTATGTTAAAAAATCAGTCGCCATCAATCTACTAGCTGTCGGATTTGGTATCATTAATTTAAATGAAACTAAAATTCTGCTGCAGTTATGTCCGATTTTGATCTTGCATTATTTGATTATGGTTTGTTTCGCTCAATGAAATATTTCTTGCGAGGATTCGAAACTATTGAGTAAGTTGAGGTAGCTTGTCATGAGTTCTTCGTATCTCAAATAATACCGGGAACAAATTCGACAGTTATTAGCAGATTGATGATTATTGATCGTTATCTTTATAATGAGGAAAAGATGTTGTTTTTGAATAAATTTGTTTGTAAAAACCAAAGATTGATTCAAAACTTTTTTGACAACTTAGTTAGTCAAATTAAAATTTTATTATATTCTATAAAAACAATGTTTATATTAAAAATATATTGCTTACCAAGATCCTGTGCGTAAGCTCGTCCATTACCCATGATATGCAATAACGAAAATCCTTCCCAGATCTTTACGGTATTTCTTGGACAGACCGGTATCATTTCGGATTGTGAGTGACGAGCAAAATAGAATCCTCTATCTCTTGGACCAATTCCATTTGGCGCAGGTAATCCAGGTGCACCGGGGAAACCTGCGAAAAAGTAATTGTTTCGTTATTTAATCCACAGTTAAAACAATGCAAATTGTTACACCAACATATTGCTTCAATTTGAAAATTAAATTATATTAATATTTAATACGAAATATATATTATCATACCTTGTTTTCCTTGTCGTCCCGTAGGTCCGCGAGATCCTTGATATCCAGGAGGTCCATCTTTACCATCCGGTCCTTGCAATCCAGGAATTCCAATCATTCCTGTCTCACCCTGTCGACCTGGCAGACCGTCCTTGCCAGGCTCACCTATCATTCCCTGTAGTCCAGGGAAACCTGTGTATTTACCACATGCGGTATTATACTTCCATTCAATAAAAATATGCATATACTAGTTTTCTATAAAATGAAATATATATAACACCTGGTAATCCGGATACTCCTATGTCACCGGGCAATCCTCGTCTCGGGAATGGCGGAAAAGGATTTATGCCAGGTTGTCCTTTCGATCCCTTTCATAAGCATATATTTAAAATAACTCATAAGTTTTCTCTTTGTTCCTCGATTTTATTCAATTATTTAAAATGTTATATTTGATGAATAAAAAAAATAATTAAATTTAAAAGAAATTTGTATAAGAATATTTTTGTTATTAAAAATAAAAACAGAAAAAACTAACAAGTAAATCGATGACTAATATCTAAATTGTGAAAAATATGATTCAAGACTCACCTTTGGTCCTTCAGGACCAAGCAGCCCAGGAAGACCAGTTTCACCGGTTTCTCCTCTTTCTCCTTTCTGTCCTGGCAAACCATCAATACCAGATAAACCAGAGTCACCTCTCATTCCCTTCAGTCCAGTTCGACCATCTAATCCACGCCATCCAGGTTCTCCAGGTTGTCCTTTAGCGCTGTCTGCAGATATTCCCGGTTCTCCACGGAAACCTTTCGGTCCTGGTGCTCCAAGGAAGCCTTGAAATCCTTCTAAACCTGGTGCACCTGGGAAGCCGACGAATCCTCGCAGACCTGATCGAAACATAAAATAATAAATATTAATTAATGTTAATATTTTTTAATTTTATTATTACTTAATTAACTTTGAAGAGAAATTGAAAATGCGATAATGATTGTTACCTGGCTCTCCGACTATTCCTTTAGGACCACGAAGGCTGTGACCTATGTCACCAGAGATTCCCTTAGGTCCGTTCGGACCATATTCACCAGGAGCTCCTTTTTGTCCTGCACGTCCTGGAATACCAGGCATACCATCAAGACCAGCGCGGCCAGGTTCACCTGGTTCAGCGAATTCACCGGGCAATCCTATGGTAAACAAATAAGAAAATGATATTAAATGACATGAAATATCAAGTTTAAAATATCTATAATAGATTAAAGAAAAATGAGAAAAATGTTGTAGATTTCATTAGCAAAATTACACTAGAATGTGAAGCATATGGCATTAATTTTCTTAACTTACTTAAAAGATTCATTATATATTCTATTAATTTTGACAAAATTTTATAAAACGAAGTAGCATAATTATTTTTAACATATCAAATAGAGAGAAACTGAAAACTCTAAATATTAAAAAAAATTAAAGAATTATATAGTACAATACATTTCCAATAAATTTATACAAGAGTAAAAGAGTAGATTGGAATTAAACATTACTCATATTGATTATTATATATTGTATATATACCTGGAGCTCCGTGAGGTCCTTGATCACCCGGTAGACCAGGGAAACCAGGTAATCCTAGAAAACCGTCAGGACCTGGATATCCTCTGTCTCCAATTTGACCCTATAGTGGACAAATAAATAATTTCTCTCGAAGTTGAAGAATTGAAATGTCCGATTTAGATTGTTCATTTACCTTACGACCAGGTACGCCAATATATCCTGGTTCGCCTGGTTGTCCTTTCACACCAGAGAAACCATCGTGACCGCGATTACCAAAATCACCCTTCTCTGCGAACGCGTAAGATGGTAAACCAGGTTCACCTACATGACCTTTCGGTCCAGGAGCTGACATAAAATGTATTGTAATTTGTTAATAAAATACTGATACAATATTTTATCCTTTTCGATTATAAATATTAAATATAAATTTAAAAAATAAGCGTCGATTATAAAATATAAAAGTATCGAAATATATGATTAAATTAATAAAGATAAATGAACGTTGATTATAATATTTACCTGGTCTACCCATTATACCCGGATCACCATCGAGACCTGATTTTCCTTTCAAACCATCGAATCCAGGTGGTCCAATCAGGCCTCTTTCACCTTTCGCACCATGTCGTCCAGATATTCCGTGCGCGCCTGATCTTCCTGGGAAGCCTTGCTCACCTTGTTCGCCTTTTAATCCATCAGGACCCATATCACCAATTTCTCCCTATAAAGACAAATATATATTATATGTTAATTTGAATATAATATCCTGCAAACTTTTTTACTATATACAATATATGGCAGAGTAAAAATAATATTTTGCCTTTTGTATCTTAAAAGTATTTTATTCTAAGAAAACAGCTTCTTAATAAAAAGAAGATGGACTTACCTTTGGTCCCTCTCTACCATTGTATCCATCGAATCCAGGTTCACCTTTCTGTCCTTGTAGACCATTGAAACCGTCAGTGGCTAATCCTGGTTCTCCCGGTAAACCCGGTCGTCCGTCGAATCCAGCCAGACCGGGCGGTCCAAGTTCCCCCATAAAACCATGTTCACCCACGTCACCTTGAGGACCGCTGAAGGAATTTTCGCCAGGGATTCCCGATAATCCTTCGGGACCAGCATCACCAGTGATACCTTTGAATCCAGGCAAGCCTGGCACTCCTGAGAAACCAGGAACTCCGGCGTCTCCTACCTCTCCTTTAGAACCAGATGCTCCGTCTATACCCTTGACACCAGGCCAACCGCGTGATCCCGAATCGCCGCTCTCACCGACATCACCCTTTTCTCCTGGAGCACCTGGTAGACCTTGTGCACCATGCATCCCTTGATATCCTTGAGGTCCTATATCGCCATCGTCACCACGTCGTCCGATAAAACCGATTTCCCCTTTCAGACCTTTCATTCCATCAAAACCAGAAGGACCATCAGGGCCTGAAAATAAATGCATCATGTTTTTTATTTTCAAGATCAAGATTAAAGTGTGAACTAATACTATAACGCGAAGTTAATTTATCCAAAACATTCTATAGACATAGAATGATAAATTTCTAATACAGCAAAGTGAATCGAATTAAGAAATGAAATTCGATTTACTTTGATTTATCATTTAATTTTATTTGATAATTCATTTTAGAATGATTTAATTTAAATTTTAAGTTTTTGATATAATATATTATACTTACCACGGATACCGACGTCTCCGATTCTTCCGGACATTCCAGGCATTCCAGGTTGACCCGGGAATCCACGGTCACCTTGTATACTATCTCCATGTTGACCTTTGGCTCCCTAAAATTGATCCATCAAATTGATTGCTTTAATGTTAATATATTATCCGTAGAAATATTTTATAAAAAATAACCAATTTCATAGAGTTAATTAATCTTTGAAACAATTTTCATAAAAATGAATAAGTGTGTACTCACTTCAAGTCCAGACAATCCTTCGTAACCAGGTGCTCCTTTAGCACCCTTGATACCTTTCACACCATCTTCTCCCGTTCGGCCACGTAATCCTTGTGGACCAGCATCACCAAAATCACCTTTTGGACCGTACCATCCGCGTTCTCCAATTTCGCCATATGTTAAATTTGATCCTGGTTCTCCTCGTTCACCTTTATTGCCGATGCGACCCTATAATAAGCAATTGCATTCATTATTTCTCTTAAACATATAAGAATTTTTAATAACTAACAATAAATAAAATTATTTTTTTATTGACGTATGTATATTTATTTTTGTATTGACCTACGTATATTTATTAAAAATGAAAGTTATTTAGTTTAATTTACTTACTGGAAAACCTACTGGCCCCTGTAATCCAGGTGAGCCTGATGTGCCTCGAAGTCCCTGATCTCCTGGCATTCCGGGGTATCCTTTTAAACCTATAGGACCTTGAAGCGAAATTCCTGGAGAGCCAGGCTCACCAGGCAATCCTAGTAGACCTTCATCGCCAGAACGTCCTTCGAAACCTTTGAAACCATTCTCGCCTACGAAAATACAGAAACTAATTCGTCTCATTTTTAAATATCCAATTCCTTTGTAATTAAAATGTCAAATTGTATACAAATTATAATATACCTATATATATTATAAATATAATTATATAATTGTATAAATAAAAACAAATATAAATTAGTTTTTATAATTACATAATTTATACGATTTTTAGAAGAAAATTTTTTAAACGATCAGTGACAAATTATAAATAATTTAAATCATATTATTTTATATTTAGTTTCACTTTTTATTAGAGAGTTTATTAATAATTATGTTTTATTTCAAATATAATTTTCAAAGATTTTTCTTTAATATATATCTTAGGAAACTTTAAATTTAACATACCAGGAGCTCCTCTATCACCTTTGTAGCCCTTGTCACCTTGACTATCTGCGATATATTCTGCAGACACACCAGGTTCTCCTTTATTACCCTTATCTCCTTGTATTCCTTTGATTCCTTCCTCTCCCGGATATCCCGGATCTCCGCGTAAGAATTCGATTGGTATCGAAGCATCTTCACCTTTTTCGCCAGGAATACCATCCCATCCTGGCAAACCATCTTTTCCCGATAATCCAGGAGAACCATGTTCACCCTATATAATAAAAAATATTGTCAAATTAGAATAAATGAGAAAATAATAATTAATCAGCTGTGCGATTGAAAAATTTGATAATAAACTGAATAACTGAATTTTATAATATTAAAAATTAAATTATTAACCCTTACACTATTAAGGGAGGTCACCGAGCGATTCCTGTTCATGCAAGTTTCTTTGAGTCTTTCGATAATTATAAATTATATTATAAATTACATTTTATTATTTTCCAAAATGTGCCAATATTTATTCTAGAAAGTTGAAAGTATGTTGGTGAATTTTTAGAGATTTTTTGAATCATTCTAATAAATAGGTGAAAAAAAAACGAACAGTCTAGTGGTAGTTAGTATAGTGCCTGTTAGTATAGATGAGGCACCAAATTGTACCTAGTAGGGTAAAGATTAATTAAATTATATTTTATACAATATTTGACAAATTTTTTTTCGCGGAGAAATAATTATGTTTATAAAAGTAAAAGAAAAATATACCTTATCTCCTTTAGGTCCCGGTACACCGGTGTCGCCAATAGGTCCTGGTTGTCCTCGTAGACCTCTAATTCCTTCGGGGCCAGGTAAGCCTTTCTCACCGAAGTCACCCGGTGGACTTACAATACTCTCACCTGGTGGGAAGAATATCTTTCCTTGTTCTCCTTTAGGTCCTTGAACTCCCGCAATACCAGGTCTTCCATTATCACCCTCAAGCCCCGCTGGTCCTGGCACACCTCGTTTTCCTAGTACTCCCTTTAATCCTCGAGGACCGGGTAGTCCAGAGAATCCCGTAGTTCCAGGATATCCATCCAAACCAGATTCACCACGTTGTCCTTTCTCACCGGGCAAACCTGTAAAATAATTTAAATAAAATAAATAATTATCATCTTAATAATAAATAATGATTATCTTAATTTTTTTTTCAAATGTCTTTTTTATATAAGTATTCTTCCATATAAGTATTCTTAATAAGTTTTAGTTAATTTTTACCTGGGACACATACGCCGCAGTCATCTCCTCGAATACCTTTGGTACCCTTAGGGCCGGTAAAGCCAGGCCAGCCGTCAGGACCAGAAATACCAGGTGTTCCAGGTAGACCACGTTCTCCAGGTGGGCCACGAATTCTTATTCCTTTTCCAGGAAAACCTTTTTCTCCTGTTTAACAAGTGTAATTATTTATGATTAAAAACTATTTACGAGTAAAATAATTATTAAATTATTACTAAGAGAATTAATAATAAAAAATATAAAAAATACATTTTGGTCTTACAATTTTTATTCAATCTTTTAAATTTTAAATAATGTTCTTTATATATAATACATAAAAATTATATATGTAACTTTATATATTGGGTCATCTAAAAAGTATTCGCGGTTTTTAGATGACCCAATATATATGTGTATATAAAGATTTCTAGTACTTTTTTGACTAATATAAATTTTAAGCTTACCCGGAGGACCAGGATCACCTCGATCGCCAGGCGGGCCTGATAATCCTGGAAGACCTGGATTGCCGTCCGGTCCCGGTGGTCCAGTTATCGTTACTCCCGGAAATCCTTTGGCACCCATAATTCCGGGTAAGCCGGGTAATCCGGAAGATCCTTGAGGTCCCACAGGTCCTGATAAACCTGGAATAATTTATAAATAGCCAATTATCATTCATGATATTTGTTATAAAACAATTATTGATACAAAACAATAAATGTAGAAAACAAATTACCATCATCTCCTTGTTCTCCTTTTATAGATGAGCCTTTCACTCCTGCGAAACCAGGGTTACCTGGAAGTCCTGGTGGTCCTGGCGGTCCTATGAAACCGACCTTTCCTGGCAAACCCGGTGTTCCTGTTTCGCCTGGTTCGCCTGGGGGACCTGAAAGAAACAAAAATTTTGGGTTACAAAATTGATTTGCCAAAAGTTTTTCCTAGATAGAAATGAGTATTAATCTTCAGCAATTTGTTGAAAGTATTATATGTAATTATTATTTTTCATAAAAAAAAGATATAAAATAATTATACCTATTGATATAATTGACACGAATAAATATTAAACATCTTTAGGAAAGAGAATATTAAATGTCCACTGACCAAGATCGCCTTGAATCCCGATATTTCCGGCGATTATCTCATCAAGTTCTGGGATGTATTGTCCGAGTTCTCCTTCAGCTCCTTGTCTACCAGGTGGACCTCGATTTCCTTCTTCCCCTGGTTCTCCCTTTATTTAATAATTATTAAATAATGCAATATATCTAACTTCATATATTTAATACTACCATACATAACTCTTTAAATATTCATTAATTAATTTGATGTTACTAAAAATATTACAATGCACATTGATAATTTTAAGTAATAACAATTAAGAACTAAATCTTCGTGCACATAAAGTTGATATAAAAAATCTTTTTTATACAAATTTTACAAATTCTTTTAATTTAAAATTTGAAAAAAAAAAAATTAACAATTTTATTTGTCAGAAACTATTTTTATATATAAAGTCAAATATATTATATTACTTACATCATCTCCATCCGGACCAGGCAATCCAGCAAATCCTGGAGCTCCCTTCTCTCCTTTTTCATCAGCCGGACCTGGCGGACCCCCGACACCTTGCTTACCTCTTGGTCCATCATCACCTTGTTCACCTTTTATACCTTTGATACCCAAGAATCCTGGTCGACCCTAGATAAGAATTGCATTCTATTTACTGTCACAATATTTAACTAAAATATTAATACCATAAAAAAATAATCACATTATTTATGTCACGAGCACAATTTTGATTTCTTATTAATAATATATTTTTTATATTTATAATCTTTCATAGAGAGCAATTATGTTATTTATATTATTCTGAATGTATTAATAATTTTATTATCACATTTAATACAGCATAATTACCTGTGGACCTTTGGCGCCCAATTCTCCCTTGCGACCTCGATCACCATAGAAACCCTTCATGCCTTTTGCACCCTGCGGTCCTTTCACAGGCGAATGTTCCGTATTCTTCTTGTACTCATCTTTACCCGGTGGTCCAGGCTCTCCTCTGTCTCCTTGTTCGCCAAGTTGACCGTTCACACCGTACACGGTGTCACCGCGTTCACCTTGCATACCTGGCAAGCCAGGTGAACCTGGTAAACCCTAAGAGAATACAAATGTATTTTTCACTTTATCGCACTTAATTAATGTAACTTGTTAATTCGCTTCATTAATACATAAATTAATCTGTGTTTATCTTATTTTTGATAAATATTATTAACATTGCTTTGCAAAAGCTATATCTTAACATTATTATTCTTTAAATAAAAAAATATCAAAATATATTTTAATATCTTTATGTTAAAGAATATATGTTCAAGTATACATTTAATTCTGCTAGTCTATTCAAATTTATTATATGATCATATTGCTTGGATTAATATAATTAAAAAAACTCTAAAATAAAAAATAAAAAATTTCACAGAAAAAAGATCTTACGTTAACAGACAAAGTCATCAAATACCGGAGAAAAGAATTAAATAAAATATTGGTAAGAAAATAAATTACATTTTGAGATTAAATAGATCAGAACAGATCAGAGTTAAGTATCAGGTCTTCCCTTACTCCCCTGAATCAGCATATGCTGAAATGTTTGAAACTATCAGTTTCTCATTTAACTAATCAAGTCAAGACTCGTCAAGAGACTTGTAACTGTGCGATCGTGCGCGTACTCTCGAGACACCCGGTATACCTTGATGTAGTTCTGCCGGTTCTGCCTATATATTACATACGCATTACGCTGAAGTTACATCTAGCGTGGCAGAGCGTAAGTGCATGTATTATGAGTCCATTATAATGCTAATTTAAGTGCACGTCCTGGTCCATCCCTGTTTATTTTTACTCCGAGCGAAATGGAGCTACTAGACATGGACTTTGCGAGACTACTTCAAACGATGCAAAGCATAATATTTTGCTTTTATTAATGCAGTTGATTAGATCTACGGGAATATTTCAATTATTACTATTGCTTTTAACACGATTTAAATTTTATTCTATGATATTTTTAAATTATTGATCCTTAATTCCGTGATTATATGTAATTAATAAGAAACATTTTAAATAGATGCAATTATATAAAAGTTACTTTTATAATTTACTTTAATAATAATATACGATACTGGAAAATTTATCTCATTATGTGACAAGCTCTTATTAAATTACAAGTGGAAAACATATAATAAATGGAGAATAATATATGTTAAGATATAACTAGAATTATATCGATACGTCAAAATTAATGAATGCGAATGAATGATGAAACGTTCAATCTTTCTTAAGAACGACGGAAATTTGTTATCGCAGTTTGTCGAATTAACTGTCGATCCGCCCTCCGTTTGTATGGGAGAAAAGGTGCCGACTCGAAGTTCGTGCCATCGCCATAAAAAAATTACCCATGCAATTGTGCAGCGCGTACGATTAACGCATTGACAATGAAAGAACCGGTTTTCGGTAGCTGATTGTGTCTTCCTTAATGGCGCAAGAGGTGTAGCCGACTTTTGCCGAGGGTCAAGAAGGAGAATTCGGGCTCGTCGAGTTTCTCGGAAGCCGTTGTTCGCCGGGTAAAATCTTCCCTTCGTCATCTCGTGCGAAGAGACGGACTCTTGCGCTATCAGCGACAGTCGTGTCAGCAGATAGCAGCTGACAACGGACGCAACGCTTCGGATTTCAACGTTTCGTATTTAGCGATTAAGTACGAAGTCCTCGCACATTTTAATTTACTTTCTTTTCTTCATTCTCTTCGCGTATTCACTTAGCACTGCTCTCAAGCTGACACAATTGAAGTTTTCTAGAAAATCGCAATGAAGAAATAGCTTTTTTCTGTAATACGCGACGGTAAAAAATATTAAGAAGAAAGATAAATTGTTCACAAAAGATATTTGTATACATACAAAATTGATACAACAAAATTTATATTACAATACAAAGTTTATATTATATTATAGTTATAGATATGTATTCACTTGGCGCGAAACATTACTTCTTTTGATATTAAAACGATGAAAATAATTTTCTTAATAAATAAAAATTTCCGTTAAAACGAAAGGATTGATATATGAGAGAAATATTAAGTAAAAGTATTGCATATAAATGAGCATATTATAATCAATTTTTTTAAAATATCAGATTAAGAAATATAATAGTAAAAACCAAATGTATCTTTACTAACAAAAAAGTTATAAGGTATAAGTTATAAGATATAAAGTAAAAGAAACAATCAGATATGCTATACTCTGAGTGACATCAAAAGAAGAAAGATAAGTTTTCGATGAAAAAACGATACACAAAAAAAAAACGAAATCCGCACGTATATGTTAAATAATTGTCTCTAAAATGAAAGAATCGTTAAGAATTAACAATGACAGGCACTTTTCCTGAATTTGATCGATTTGTACATCGAAAAAAACTCTTTTCTCTGTGATCTTTCATTAGCGGAGCTGTGAATCTTCCGAGAGAAGAGTCTATCGTTTCGTTCGTTAATTAGCTGTGTCAATTAAATTGGAAGCAAAAAGAAAGCTCCGTTTCCTACACGAAAGTAACTGATAAGCGGCTATATCACTAGTACACGTGCTGAAAACGTTAAACCTTTCCTTTTTAGCAAAAAGGGAAGTGCCTGGGGGATAACATTGCGCACGTAATTTAACCCTACGGGCGTAACTTGGAATACTACGGATACAAGTGGTGCAGATAACTTTCGAGTGGCCATCGCAGCTAGCTCTATGCGCTTTAAGAATCTCGTAAAGTTTCGTCGTCTGGTTTATACGAACCGAAATACTCGCGGCATACGTTACATTACCATATCGCACTTTTCGTATCGCACAGCTGTAATTTAAGAGAAACGGTGCCCTATTCTTTCTAGATTGCAAATCTACCATCCGTTTCCTTCTTTTGACCGAATACGTCTTTCTATTTTTAATTTAATTAATTCTCTTTCTAATCTAAGTTACTTTTTCATAATCTTTTCTATCATGTTCAAGAATTTTTAATTCTTGTATTTCTATTCTAATATCTCTGTGATTTCTGCAAAGAACGGTTTTGCTGAAGTATCTAAAAATTTGTACCGATCTGAAAATAATTTTGTTGTGTCATAACTGATGCCTCTAACTAAATTTTAAGATACTTCAGCAAATTCTATCTATGTAGACGTTTAAAATAAAAAAAGATAATGTAAAGAATTTTATAGCATATGTGTGACAATTAAAATTAATAATTTTTTATTCTTACACCGTTCGATTTTTTCTAACTATTCTTGAAAAATTTTCTAATCATTCTGTAATAGTCGAGACACACGAAAACTTATTCCTCTTTTAGAGCGTGAACATTCATTTCGACCAGTATTGCGCATTTTTACTTAAAGCCCGAATGTGCATTCGCGTTCGTGTGTTCAGAGGTGACTTTTAACTCGACGGCGTGTAAGAGGATTCCTTGGAGCGGTGCTTATCGCACGACGGAAATCGCGACTCGTGCGGAATTCTTTTGGATTCTTTCCACTTCTTTTCTTCCTCTTTACCCGATACCTCGTTAAACATTGCTGGCGAATACTTTGGACCAGCAAATGATATTTCATGTGAGCAGGTGGCGTTTCGCAAAAAGGAACGAAAGCCGTCCCGAGAGTCGAACTGTCGAGCTTGTCTCTTTCTTCGTCCTATTCTCTTCCTTCTCGTTCTTCAGGGATCTACCTAAACGTTCGCGAGGGTTCACCGGCCCTCGAGAGTCAGCACCGATCGACCGGTGTTACGGTACCTTAAACAACATGCTGTGGGATAAACAAGCGTGCTTTTGTTATTACTTACAAAGTCACCTGTGTCTCCTGGATAACCCATGTCGCCGGTGAGCCCCTGCTGTCCTTGATAACCCTGGAAACGCAATCATATCTTAGAACGACTAATGATCGCTACGAGTGCAGTTATGGCGAAATTAATCCGCGATGATTTTAGGAGAAATAGTGTATTTATTATATGGTAATTCTTTCTAGTATTATGTACTGACATAATAAATTCATGAAGAGATCAATTTCAATTACAAGAAACTATCGATATAAATGTAGATTAAATGTTAACAATATATTTATAAATCACAATATGTGTGTATATATACCTATATATATACCTATATATATAGAAAAGTTTATAAATTTAAATAATTAGTGTACAATATGCACTATTACCGATTTAAGATTCAATTACGGAAAATGAAAAAAAATAATTGCATCACATATGAATATTAATAATATAATGCTACGATATAATTGTCTCAATTTAATTTATTTTATTATTGCACTGAATTTTTATAGGTAAATTGATGTTACATGAAAATGAATAATATAAATATTTAGATATTAAAATTTTTTGATAGCGTAAATATCGTTATTAAAATATGATTTTAAATGTTCAAGTTATTAAATAATACACTTCACATAAAATGTGATACATATTTCACGTTAAATGTGAATTCTTACCTCCAAACCATCGATACCGGGATTACCGCGAATTCCTTTGGCACCGACCGAATTTATACCTCCATCACCCGGCTCTCCCGGGAAACCATAATCGCCCGAGGGACCTGGTACACCACGAGGCCCGAAAACTCCGGGTATACCGGGTGCACCAGCACGACCGTCGGTTCCGTTGCATCCGTCCAGTCCATCCGGACCCATCACACCGGATACACCAGGATTACCCTAAGGAATGCTTGTTACAATCCCTCTGAATGATTCTTTTACATTTAAAGGTATAAGAATGAAACGTAAAACATTGGACTAAATTCAGCTTGAAAATTCACTAAATTTAATTCAGAAATGCAAGAAGCTCATGACTTCAATTTTTTTTCTTTCTTATAATAAGAAGAAATCAAAAGATATAGAGTAAAGAGAATTTTTTAATTAAGATTTCATTTACATATTCATTTACATGTTCTATAATTAGATTATATCAAGAAAATTTGTTTGTTTTCATATATTCATTCTGTTTGTTTAAAAAAAATGATTAGAATTTATTTTATGTTGCTTAAGATTTACCGTGTGTGGGATAATATACATAATACAGAAATAACAAAATTTAACACGTATTATATAATATGTGATTATTTAAAAAAATAAAGATTGGAACACACATATACTCTAATTTTGCGGACTTTGATTTACTTCGAAAGACGATAGAGCAGCTAATATACGTACGGAAAGTCCTGCAACTCCCATAAATCCTTGTATACCATCATCGCCCTAAACAGAAGAAATAGAAAATAATGTCTGATTTTTTTACGATTTTCAACGATTATGAATGCAAATATAAATACATTGCTAGTATCGTGCTTGAAGTCATATCAACGTTAATTAATAATTGTTTCATATATTAAAATATAAAGCTAATTAATTCGACCGTTTTTACCATTTAATAAAATAATCCGATTTATCATATTATTATTTTACATAATATTAATTTAGGTTTATATTTCAGAAAATCTAATAATATTTCGGAACTGAAAATATCAGACTAATCGCCAAATGCTTTTATGATTGATCTCTATTATCTCCGCGCTCAATTATGATTAACTTGACCATCGCCGCACTCAAGTACATCTCGTTAACATTGTTGTAATTGCAGATATGACTGCGTCGTATCCTTGATTCGGAGGGAGGTCGTCCGAATCATATCATCTCGACGACGCCGTTGTAATTCGTCGAAGAGCGCGACATTCTCAGCCGGGTATCGAAGATCCTGGAAAGTGCGTGTACAAAGTACGTAAGTACGTGCGTACGTGCATCTTCTTCTATATAAAGAGCGTAAATGCATTTCGTTGATGGCATCCATCGCGCTTCACTTCGAGCTGGTTAAAGGGCGGCTGTGCAACTATAATACATCTGGGCACGTTTTCGCCTAATTAACGATGCGTCAAGGCATTTTCTCTTCATCGTTTACACAACCCGGCGTACATTTCTCATCTCATCTCGTCCAACATCCAACACAAACATCCACAGTCCCCATCAGAGAAATATACGTTTACGGAATATATAATACATTTACGGAATTTTATTTACGTCATATAAAAATTTGGAAATGTTACTAATTGCTCATTTTGAAATTTTAATTTCTTGCTGTATTATTTCTTCCTTTCGCGAAATATAATAAATAGAACACATTAAATGCAACTGGATATGCGTGGTAATAATTCAAGATGTTGAAGAAAATATATATCATGAGAAAACAAGGCATAGAAGTATTAAAAACATATAAAAATAAATAAGTAATAAATGTTCAATTTAATTATGAACAACGAGAAGTTGACTAAGAAAGCAAAACTTGTTTCTTTTGTTTGATTGTTAAGAAAGTACTAGGTAGGGTACATTTCTGTTAATTTCTGCAAGAAATACGCTTGTAGTAGACGCTAAACAGGTAGATTTTACTGCTTTCCGTTGGCTTTTACGCGGCGTATTTGCATTAAACATCTTGTTCGAATGTTGCGTGCGGTTACAGCGTCATTACTTATTCCTCTTGAGTTTTAACGTGTTTATTGCATTCGTCGAGAGTTTACGCGAATCCTTTCACAAAGGTACTATTGTATTCGTCACAATGTGTCCGATACTTCCGATGAGAATCCGCAAGAAGAAAGCTCTCGTCAAAGAAACCACACTTAGAAAAACTGTATGCTTATGCGAGATTGAAAAAAATTTATAAAACTTTAACGTTTAACTTTCGCTTGCAATCGTTAAAATAAAACTAAAAAAATAAAACAATTGATAAAAACTGATTAGATTTTTTAATGCTTAAAAGTATGTAAAATGTATTATAATAAAACGACAGGACTTCACTTCAAAAATTATTATTATGCTTTTATGCAAGATATAATACAATAACAATTATTAGAAATTAAATTCTTCTCGTCAGAAAGAGAAAGAATAAATTTACAAAAAATGAGAATTCCATTTTCGATTACTATGATAGCTTTCGATTATTGTAAAAAAATATGCGTGATAGCTTTTGCGCGTGATAACTTGTTAATACTATTTAGACATTTAAATAAAAATTAGAGTTTTAAATAAGCGATCATGCGTTGTAATTTAATCTTCATTACATTTTAATGACATAATTTTCTTGTCATTTCTTAGAAGCTTTGTCAACATCCTTCTCTGTTTTGTTTTTTAGAAGCTTATCGTGGGGTGACATTGCTTATCACTTAAGCGTGTGCGTGTCAGTTATCCAATTTAACCACCAACAAAATAAGACATTCATCATAATTGGAGACAATATTACTAGTAAGTACTGTGAAGTTACATGCAAGGGAGCATAAATTTGTAAATTACATTCATAGGAATATAACATTACAATAAAATTTAGCTGTAAATATACTGAATGTTTTAGGAATTGGATAATTTAATTGTTAGAACTTTTCAAAAGAATCAAAGAATCATTAAATTTGCGTTGCAATTCTCCGCTAGCAATGTTGGACTTTAAAGGCGCAGTTGATTTTTTTATTGTTTGAATTTGATAGATAAATTTAAATCTGCAAAAAATAAGTAAAATACAATTCAACTTCCATGATAGCAAAAATTTGTTGTTAAAGCTTTCACAAATATGTAAATAATTTTTCAGATTTTTATATATAATATATGTCCGAAACAATATAAAAATGAAGTTCGAAGATTCAGACTGCGGATGAAGGGTGAAAATTTTATATTACAGAACGATTAACACATTTAATTACTAAAAAATGTACTACTAATTATTTTAAAAATTAAATACATATAGAATGCGTTCTACTTGAAAAATTAAGATATATTGTATTACGGACAAACAAAGTTATAAATGAATTAAAATATAGCTACAACGCAGTACGAAATTTTTTCTCTATTCAGACGCCATTCAGCTTATCATGCATAAATGTCTACGCATAAATGCGTATTAACTTGTGTCTACGCGTAACTTGTGTTCAAAACGGGTGTCGTTATCAGTTGACCTCTTGCGTAAGATGTAAGAAACGTGTCCGATTACAAACATTATAACAGCGACTGAGGATTAAAAAGTAGTACGATATAAAAATCTACTATAAAACTAATGATGCTTTGTGTATCATACAAATATATTCGGTAATGTAACAGGATAATGCAATAATAAAAACGTTTATGGCCATGAGAATGTTCTCTCACGTTGTAAAAATAAAATTTCGTTTTGTAAAAATAAAAATAAGTTACAGATTAATGTAGTATGCTGTTAACTCAAATAAAAGATTGAAACGGAGAAAATCTCGTTCTCTCTCTCTCTCTAACGTTCAGTAAAAATTTCATTAAAAAATCCATTGTTGATAATATATTCATAAATCAATATCACGACGCTGTAGGACAAGCATGGTGGTGGACGGGAGATGCCATTTATGGGCATGCCCGATACAAAATTGATATGGGATGCCTTTTAAAGGCTGGTATTGATTGGGTAGCTGCTGCCTGGTGTGAACGAAAGGAGAAACCCGCTATGACACGGTCGAATCAGACATTGTATCTGTAAATGGGATGCAATGGATATAAGATACTGACATTTTCTCTTTCTCTTTCTCTCTTGGTAAAAAGAAGTTGTCACATACTTTTATGAGATTGATTGACGGGCTGTCATCCATGCCAACGTAATCAAAATTTTAAAAGCGTAACTTGAGTGCAATTTTGTTTGTTGTAGATAAATTACATTATATATGGAAGAAGCTCGATTATATAAAATTAGATTATACAATTTTAATATAGTAGAAATTACAAAGTAGTGAGAAGAGTGAGACAGAGAAAAGAAATAAAAATTTTAATTAAGTGAAATGTACTTCATTATATTTTATTACATATATAATATTTAAATGTTTTTAATATAAATTTATGAAATAAGTTATAATTTAAATATTATTAATACACATTACAGAAATATTATTAATAATAGTTGGATTTAAGTCACTCAGTTTTATAAACAAAATTTCATTATATGTATTAAAGTTTATATATTTTATAAAGATGAGACTTTTCGGATTAAATTAGTTTTAATTAATTTGGGGATTAAATTATTGTGGAAATTATATCGATTGTTTCAAAAGCCGAAACTGTTGAACATCGATGAGATAAAGCTGGAGGCGAAAGGAGGCCAGGAGGAAATGAAGGAATGGATATGACGTCACAGGAGACGTTGCTAGAATATACCGCAGAAATTTTGAGAAGGGACATACAAGCAGAGTGAGAGAGAGAGAGAAAACGGATATCTGAATATGAGATCATACGGACATCCGGTTTCAGGAATGAGCTGGGTTCACAGTGCGATTTGTCAATGGGAAGTGCGTTATCAGCGCGCGTGATGCCTCCCCATCCTCCCTTCACTAGTTCTCAACTTCCAGCTTTTGTCTCGCTTGATCTCTGACAGTTTCGTCAGAGGGACCTGATTTTTTAACGAACGCGAAAGTTCCGAGAAGTAGGTCACGAAGATTAACTTAGAGCCTGTCACGAAGAAGTAGGGAGACAGCTGCTGTGTATCATAATTTTACTTATTATAAAAATGTGTCGAGTAAAATATACTCGATTTTTTGTTTCATTTTAATTAGAAAGGATCTCTCGGAGGATTAATCGCGACAATTTATTTGGACGATGAACTGGAAATGTGAAGAAAGATTTCGAGATAGTTGGATGTGAATTATTTCCTTCTATGTAAGGTGTTCCAGAAATTTTAAAGATAAATTTTAGGCAACCTCGATTGCAAATTTATTTAAGATAAGTATTTAATATAATTTTCACATTGATGTTGCAATCAATATTGATATATTATAAATGATTATATATCTATACTAAAAGCACCGAAAATTAATATTAAAATACTGTAAGAAATATTAATAATTCTAATGAAAAGAAGATTTATATTCAATGAATGATTTTGTAAAAATTAGAATGTTTGTCACGTCTCAAATTTTACGCGGAAATAATTTCGCGAGACGTATGATGGTAATACAGTCCGATGCTCGCTCGATGGCAGACCGGAAATACGTTTCACCCCCGCATTTTGTGATATCAAAGAGTAGCAACGAACGCGTAGGACTGCAACGCGTGTATCCGTTTTACGGTCATTATCGGTGCACGGTGTCTCTTATCAGTGTGCAAATTGCACCGGCAAAATATTCATAATATTCACGAAAATGGGGAAGACAGATGCTGATTATCGATAACGCATCATCTTTCAGGATTGCTAGAGGATATTTCCGCTCTTAAAA